AATAACCACAATACGCATGTAAGACTTACCGTTACTTTTGGTGGATATTTCTTATCATCAAAATTTTCCAGGTCCAGTAAGTCCATATACATATCTTGAGGTGTAGTTCTACAAAGGTTTTTTGAGTTAGCACTCTTTCAAAAGTTCGTTCTCCTTTAAAGGTTTTTTGAGATGACGACCCTTCGAAAACTTTATGAGAGGGCATTTTTTTAGAAACTTTTTGAGATAACAATTTGATTTTTGAAGAACAATCAATATTCGGTTTAGGTAATTCACTAATTGCAATGCCTAATTAATGATAAATAAATTTAATTAAAAATTTCTATTTAGAATTATACACGTCATTTATTATGTAATAAAGTTTTATTATCTTACCAGTTACTTGAAGATAAGAATTATTTGAAAGAAAAATAAATATTGGTGTATTCTTCAATAAATAAGTCATTGCTTTCTCACCAAGCCTACAAAATACTATACGATTCGACCTTATACGTATCTTAGTTTACATTATAATTAAGCTATTTACCTAGAGTAAAGCTTTTCCAATCCTGGTAAACGTATGATATAATCTGTGCATGAATTTTTGAATACTACTGTATTACCGTATTCAAATGGTACCTAATCACAGTTTGCAATTAAAAATTATAGACAAATTAATATTTAAATATCTTCCATATGCAATATATATGTTTGAAGATTTGTATTAACCTCTCTAAAGCCAAGCGATAAAACGTTGGGTTGCCTTTTTCGAACTGAGGTTGTCTTTTCATTAACAAGTTCGGTAATAGCATCATAAACCACCTACGTACCGGCGAATTTTAAATTAGTTTTTTAACGAACTACATAAGTTCACTTATCAATTTAGTAAATAAAATATACTTCTGCATATTTTTTTCCCGAATCCCAAGGGCATAAGTTACGTGGAAAGGACTGTTTAGCGTCATTTATGAGTGAGGTTTTTAGTAAACTTGTATAATCTTCTGAATCACTCTTCTGAATCAATTCAATTTGACTGCCACAGTGCGTGGTAAGAAATTCGTATAAAGTGGTAAT